ATTCATTTTGATACAGTATGCTTTGATCATCAGCAAAAAGTAATTCGTTTATAGCATACACGTCTGGGTTTGCTTCTACAGTGATCTTATCCATGTATGTTATGAAAAGTAATGGTGACAGTACACATCCTTGCCTGACACCAGTTGTGACTTTGAACCATTCAGAAAGACCACTAGATGTTCTTACTGCACTTTCACTTTTTTCATAGAGGGCTCTGATGTTGTCTAATAATTGACCCTGCACTCCGTAATCGTCAAGAATTCTCCACAGCACATCTCTGTCTACACGGTCGAATGCCTTCTCTTGATCTACAAAGACCACGTTCAGCTCTTTATCGTATTCGAGTGTCTTTTCACAGACTTGTCTTAGTGCAAATATGGCATCAGTGCAACCTCGCCCTTTCCTGAAACCGAATTGTGCTTTACTCAGTAGAGGTTCAACCTTTGCTCTTATCCTACCTTCTAAGATCTTTGCATACATTTTCCCCACATGACTTAGTAAAGATATTCCTCTATAAGTTCCACATTCTCTCTTGTTTCCTTTTTTCTTCCAGATAGGTACTACAACTGATCTTTGCCAATCCACTGGTACCTTTCTCTCTGCCCATGCTCTATTGAAAATTCTCTCCAGCCAGGTGATCATAGTGTCCCCTCCAGCCTGGATGACTTCTGTTGTTATTCCGTCGATACCAGCTGCTTTGTGTCTTTTACTTGTTTTGATAACTTTCTCTACTTCATCCCGCAGGATATGTGGTTCTAGATGATCTGGAGCCCTTGAATGGAATTCTGCTGTTTCATGTACTCCCGACGGGTTCAAAAGTTCTTTAAAATATTCCTCCCATCTTTTTTAATTTTTTTTTTGGCTGAATAATGGTTTTCCATTTTTATCGTTTATGACTGATGTTGGATTGAAGCTTTCTTCTCTTAATCGCATCGCTTTCACACTCTTATAAAAGTCTCTTGGTGATTCTGTACATAGCTGTGTTAGGTGTTCACCATACTTTTTCCATGATTCCTCTTTGGATTTCTTTATTGTTCTCTTGGTGTCTCTTCGAGTTAGTCTGTACCTAATGTAATCCTTTTCGTCTTTTGTTTTTAACCATATTTGAAACATCTTCTTTTTATTTGACACTGCTTCTTTGACTTCTTCATTCCACCAAGCGGTACCCTTTTTCTTGCCTTTGCCCGTCTTTCTGGTACCACACTTGTCTTTTAATATCTTCGTGATGGTTGATTTATAATAATCCCATTCTTCTTCAATTCTTACTGGTTCCTTGGCAATATCTGCAAAAGCCTTTGTTATTTCTAGTTCAAATTCATGTTTGATATTCTCTTCCTCTAATTTCTTAGTGTTGATGATTTCTTCACGTTTCTGTTTATGTAGACTGTTTCTACTTGAGTTGCATATGTTCATAACTACTGGGCGATGGTCTGAATCCAGTCCCGCATTTGGGACAGCTTTTGAGTCTCTTACCGTCCTCTTCTGCCGTTGTCTGACTAGTATAAAATCAATTTGTGACGCTTGATCTAAGTTGTTCCACTTGTACCACGTTTTAACCTGACTTTGGCGATGTTGGTAGAATGTGTTGGTAATGTAGAGATCTTGTTCAGCACACAAGTTTAACAGGTGTTCTCCATTTCTATTGCAATCTGTGGTTGTGTCGCTGAATGGGCCAAGGTATCTCTCCCATGGTGATCTTCTTTTACCTACCCTACCATTAAAATCTCCCATTACTATGATGTCCTCTTTCTCTTTAACATTATTGATGGTGTCCGTAAGTCTCTCGTAAAAGTCTTCTTTTTCTTCTTCAGAATAACTATCGTTGCAAGGTGCATATATCTGAATAATCGTTGTAGTTTTACTTCCTTCTGTCAACTTGATTAAAATAATTCTTTCTGATATAAATTCTGTTCCTGTTATTAATTTTGCTGTCTCGGGATGAAGTATAAATCCGACACCATGTTTTGCCCTATCTTTAGTGGGTACTCCGCTCCATAATAAAACATAATTTTTCATGTATTTCTTTTGTATTATATCCTTTCTTTCTTGTATCCGCAAGACCCATGACGTGTATATTTTTTCTTTTCATGAAATCCACTATTTGTGGCTCTTTGTTGGCAATACCACATATGTTCCATGTGCCTATGTAAGTCGTTTTTCTGTCTCGTCGTCCTTTAACGTTTCCAGTCCATTTTCCGTTTGGGGCTGTCCGTTTATTTATCTCCTTTCTAATTTTCGTAGCAATAACAAATCCACTGCCGGCTTGCTAGGCCAGTCGCAGTTTAAGGGAAAATCTGACCAGATGGACCCCATCCCATCTGTCGAGCCAGAGCCTCGTTCGCCTGTGGCCTCCTCGTTTATCTGAAAAATTGAAAACACAATGCCAAAAGTTCTATTTCAAAGCTCAGGGTTTAAGCTCAACAAATGGTGTGCTGATGGCAGTCTCAATTTCCAGTAATCGTAATCGAGAAACCAAACAAAAATTCAAACTTTGTCCTCTTTCAGCTGCCCGAAGGCCTGCTTTAACGAGGGCGGTTTCTTTGCTATCTGATTCAATTCTTTTCTGTGTGGCGATCATTTTCGCCTAATTTAGTGTATTTTCTGCTGCATCATGTCCGCTCGGTCAGGCTTGACAGTCGGTTTCCATTTTTTTGGGGAGTGGATTTGGCAGCTCTAAAAAGGGCTGCCATTTTTGCCTGGGGCGGCCTGGAACGGGAGGAGCGGGGTCTCCGGTATGCTGGTTTGTTGGGCTGTCATTATGGCTTGGGTAGTTTCTATTAGCTGTTGTTTCTAGTGCTGGTAGTGGTTTCGTATGTCTGGTGTGTACTTTTGGGGTTTCCTAGGCGTCTGGCGTAGTTTTTGTTCTTCCTGAGCGAAATGTCGTATGGAGGCTGTTTTCATTTGTTTGAAGAGTTGGAGGAACCAGTCTTGTCTGGTTTGGTATTCCTCAGGTGTTAGGCTTTCCTCCTCTTTCCACGCGTCCTCGTCATATTTTGTGTAGACACGGTTTTGGTGTACGATCAGCTTGTACGGAAATATTTGCTTATTAATTCTCCGGTGAAGTTCCTGTACGTCAGCCTCGGTGGTTTCGGTACCATCCTCTGGAAATTCTGGTGTAACTTGATCCACTCTGTCTGTTTCAGTGTTTCGATCTTCGCTTGTAGTTGGATCTGTCAGTTGTGTCTGGTGCCTCGTAACTACCGCTTCGGTGACTGCTCTTGTCGGCCCTGTTGACATTTTGTTTCTTTGCGGCTCTCTCTCTTTTGTTCTGTAACCGGGTGCACTCTGTTCTGGCTGTCATCTCAGCCGCTTCTGCTTCTGCTTTAGCCTGTACTAGTCGGATGACTTCTCTGTAGGCTTCCTCTCTCGCGTCTTTCAGCACGTCCACCTCTCTGCCTCTATCCTCTCTCTCCTCCTGTCCGCGTTTCTCGTCTGCTGCCTGTACCGCTGCCAAACTTGCGATTAATGCCTTGATACTTTCTTTAGTTTCTGCATCTTCTTTCGTGTTGTAGATCTGTTGTGCTTCGTAGGCTGTTCTGTCCTCTTTCAGGGCACTTATTTTTCTCAGCATCAGGGTGATTAACTCACGCGTCTCAGCTTTTTCGGCGGCGAAAGCAACTTTTTCCTTCTTCAGTTTCGAAATCGCTTGCACTAGGTCGTGGTCTTTTGATGGCAGGGTAGGCTGGCTTCTCAGTTGTCCACACCTATATAATCTTTCCTAAGCTCCTCCTCTTCGCCATCCTAAACAACTGTCATTAAAGAGATGTCAAAGCTCCTTCCCGTGGGTCCAGTTCACTCACCAAAGCCTGTCAGTCAGGAAGGCACAAACACTTGTAGATGTCACTTCGCCTGCGGCACCGTGTAAACCAACAGTCAGTAAACCAAGGATGTACCGCATACACACTACTAGAGTGTCTCTGGTACAACACAGAATGACCCGCATAGCCCCTGTCCGTATGCGCTCTAGTTTATCCATCTGACTCTTTGAGACGTCCTAGTCCATTATCTATCACTGGCAGGATCAGGTGCTGATGTAGTGTGACAAGCATTCTCTGCTCTGTGTCCATTGTAGGTATTGTCATGAGTGCATTGAGTCCTTTTTGGCATCTAGTCACAAGCATCTCTACATTGTCCTTGAAAGATAGGCTCATGTCACATGTAATTCCCAAATACGTCAGCTAAACCGTTGAATTCACACACAAAAGCCGTGGACTTGACTTTGGTGACCAATTATTACAGCCACTGGATGACTAACTAGTTAGGTAGCCTGCCTGGCGCTCTACAAGTCGTGTGCGTTTGTGTCACGGTCTGCTTCCTTCGTCACATCAGCTGAAGTGTTTGTGTCACGGTCTGCTTCCTTCGCCACATCAGCTGAAGTGTTTGTGTCATAGTCTGCTTCCTTCGTCACATCAGCTGAAGTGTTTGTGTCATAGTCTGCTTCCTTCGTCACATCAGCTGAAGTGTTTGTGTCATAGTCTGCTTCTTTCGTCACATCAGCTGAAGTGTTTGTGTCATAGTCTGCTTCCTTCGTCACATCAGCTCAAGTGCTTGTGTCATAGTGTGCTTCCTTCCCCACATCAGCTGAAGTGTTTGTGTCATAGTCTGCTTCCTTCGTCACATCAGCTGAAGTGTTTGTGTCATAGTTTGCCTCCCTAGTCTCATCAGCCGAAGTGTTTGTGTCACGGTGTGCTTCCTTCGTCACATCAGCCGAAGTGTTTGTGTCATAGTCTACCTCCTTGGTCTCATCAGCTAAAGTTTTTGTGTCACGGCCTGCTTCCTTCGTCACATCATCTGAAGTGTGTGTGTCACGGTCTGCCTCCCTCGCCACATCAGCTGGGGTGCTGTGATCGCTGTTGCATTTTGTCAAGCTCTCCGCAGACGGCTAGACATTCTGCACAAAGAGAGACCAAGCCCCGAGTGAGAAATGCCTGTTCAGTAAAGTCAATCCTGTCCACTTTAAACGTTTTAACTCAAACCATTTGGTTCCGTCTACCCGCAGACACATGCTGGCAAGGACATCTACAGTTGTGCCGCTACTGTCTGGAAACGCAGGGATATGCCAAAAGGTCATTGTGTTGGTAAGTCGAATTTGTGTGTCGAGATAATCTGGATACGATGTTGAATTTTGGACGCGAACTCTGAACATCTAGTCGGCGGGTTAAAAAGTCTGTTGAAGAGTTGCGTTCTTAACATTACCTGGCTGCGTCCTAGACTAGTTCTAAATCTCATGTTCACTATCTACACCTATTTACAGGGGACTGTGCTGCAAAGCTCTGCGTTCCCTCTCCCAGGGAAGTCTCAGTAAAGTGTGTAATGTCCGCTCCTGAGCTTTACGTCCGTAGAGAGGATACCAGCTTGACTGACAGGCCAGAATGGAAGTAGATAGACCTTACAAAAGTAGATCTTTTTAAAATGATGGCTGTCAGAGTAGAAGTTTAGATATTCGATCTTACAACACAAGATCTGGTTTAGTTGATTTTAGAGTAGAAGTCTAGATGTTAGATCTTACAATACAAGATCTGGTTTAGTTGATGGTATTCATAGTAGAAGTTTAGATGTTAGATCTTACAATACAAGATCTGGTTTAGTTGATGGTAGTCAGAGTAGAGGTTTAGATGTTAGATCTTACAAAACATCTGGTTTAGTTGATGATAGTCAGAGTAGAAGTCTAGATGTTAGATCTCACAATACAAGATCTGGTTTAGTTGATGGTAGTCAGAGTAGAGGTTTAGATGTTAGATCTTACAACACAAGATCTGGTTTAGCTAATGGTAGTCAGAGTAGAGGATTAGATGTTAGATCTTACAACACAAGATCTGGGTTAGTTGATGGTAGTCAGAGTAGAGGTTTAGATGTTAGATCTTACAACACAAGATCTGGTTTAGTTGATGGTAGTCAGAGTAGAGGTTTAGATGTTAGATCTTACAACACAAGATCTGGGTTAGTTGATGGTAGTCAGAGTAGAGGTTTAGATGTTAGATCTTACAACACAAGATCTGGTTTCGTTGATGGTAGTCAGAGTAGAGGATTAGATGTTAGATCTTACAACACAAGATCTGGTTTAGCTGATGGTAGTCAGAGTAGAGGATTAGATGTTAGATCTTACAACACAAGATCTGGTTTAGCTGATGGTAGTCAGAGTAGAGGATTAGATGTTAGATCTTACAACACAAGATCTGGTTTAGCTGATGGTAGTCAGAGTGGAGGATTAGATGTTAGATCTTACAACACAAGATCTGGGTTAGTTGATGGTAGTCAGAGTAGAGGATTAGATGTTAGATCTTACAACACAAGATCTGGTTTAGTTGATGGTAGTCAGAGTAGAGGATTAGATGTTAGATCTTACAACACAAGATCTGGTTTAGTTGATGGTAATCAGAGTAGAGGATTAGATGTTAGATCTTACAACACAAGATCTGGTTTAGCTGATGGTAGTCAGAGTAGAAGTCTAGATGTTAGATCTTACAACACAAGATCTGGTTTAGCTGATGGTAGTCAGAGTAGAAGTCTAGCGAGATGTTAGATCTTACAATACAAGATCTGGTTTAGCTGATGGTAGTCAGAGTAGAAGTCTAGCGAGATGTTAGATCTTACAATACAAGATCTGGTTTAGCTGATGGTAGTCAGAGTAGAAGTCTAGCGAGATGTTAGATCTTACAATACAAGATCTGGTTTAGCTAATGGTAGTCAGAGTAGAAGTCTAGCGAGATGTTAGATCTTACAACACAAGATCTGGGTTAGTTGATGGTAGTCAGAGTAGAGGATTAGATGTTAGATCTTACAACACAAGATCTGGTTTAGTTGATGGTAGTCAGAGTAGAGGATTAGATGTTAGATCTTACAACACAAGATCTGGTTTAGTTGATGGTAGTCAGAGTAGAGGATTAGATGTTAGATCTTACAACACAAGATCTGGTTTAGTTGATGGTAGTCAGAGTAGAGGATTAGATGTTAGATCTTACAACACAAGATCTGGTTTAGCTGATGGTAGTCAGAGTAGAAGTCTAGATGTTAGATCTTACAACACAAGATCTGGTTTAGTTGATGGTAGTCAGAGTAGAAGTCTAGATGTTAGATCTTACAACACAAGATCTGGTTTAGTTGATGGTAGTCAGAGTAGAGGATTAGATGTTAGATCTTACAACACAAGATCTGGTTTAGTTGATGGTAGTCAGAGTAGAGGATTAGATGTTAGATCTTACAACACAAGATCTGGTTTAGTTGATGGTAGTCAGAGTAGAGGATTAGATGTTAGATCTTACAACACAAGATCTGGTTTAGTTGATGGTAGTCAGAGTAGAGGATTAGATGTTAGATCTTACAACACAAGATCTTGTTTAGCTGATGGTAGTCAGAGTAGAAGTCTAGATGTTAGATCTTACAACACAAGATCTGGTTTAGCTGATGGTAGTCAGAGTAGAAGTCTAGCGAGATGTTAGATCTTACAATACAAGATCTGGTTTAGCTGATGGTAGTCAGAGTAGAAGTCTAGCGAGATGTTAGATCTTACAATACAAGATCTGGTTTAGCTGATGGTAGTCAGAGTAGAAGTCTAGCGAGATGTTAGATCTTACAATACAAGATCTGGTTTAGCTGATGGTAGTCAGAGTAGAAGTCTAGCGAGATGTTAGATCTTTCAATACAAGATCTGGGTTAGTTGATGGTAGTCAGAGTAGAGGATTAGATGTTAGATCTTACAACACAAGATCTGGTTTAGTTGATGGTAGTCAGAGTAGAGGATTAGATGTTAGATCTTACAACACAAGATCTGGTTTAGCTGATGGTAGTCAGAGTAGAAGTCTAGATGTTAGATCTTACAACACAAGATCTGGTTTAGTTGATGGTAGTCAGAGTAGAAGTCTAGATGTTAGATCTTACAACACAAGATCTGGTTTAGTTGATGGTAGTCAGAGTAGAGGATTAGATGTTAGATCTTACAACACAAGATCTGGTTTAGTTGATGGTAGTCAGAGTAGAGGATTAGATGTTAGATCTTACAACACAAGATCTGGTTTAGTTGATGGTAGTCAGAGTAGAGGATTAGATGTTAGATCTTACAACACAAGATCTGGTTTAGCTGATGGTAGTCAGAGTAGAGGATTAGATGTTAGATCTTACAACACAAGATCTGGTTTAGCTGATGGTAGTCAGAGTAGAGGATTAGATGTTAGATCTTACAACACAAGATCTGGTTTAGTTGATGGTAGTCAGAGTAGAGGATTAGATGTTAGATCTTACAACACAAGATCTGGTTTAGTTGATGGTAGTCAGAGTAGAGGATTAGATGTTAGATCTTACAACACAAGATCTGGTTTAGCTGATGGTAGTCAGAGTAGAGGATTAGATGTTAGATCTTACAACACAAGATCTGGTTTAGTTGATGGTAGTCAGAGTAGAGGTTTAGATGTTAGATCTTACAACACAAGATCTAGGTTAGTTGATGGTAGTCAGAGTAGAGGTTTAGATGTTAGATCTTACAACACAAGATCTGGTTTAGCTGATGGTAGTCAGAGTAGAGGATTAGATGTTAGATCTTACAACACAAGATCTGGTTTAGTTGATGGTAGTCAGAGTAGAGGATTAGATGTTAGATCTTACAACACAAGATCTGGTTTAGCTGATGGTAGTCAGAGTGGAGGATTAGATGTTAGATCTTACAACACAAGATCTGGGTTAGTTGATGGTAGTCAGAGTAGAGGATTAGATGTTAGATCTTACAACACAAGATCTGGTTTAGCTGATGGTAGTCAGAGTAGAGGATTAGATGTTAGATCTTACAACACAAGATCTGGTTTAGTTGATGGTAGTCAGAGTAGAGGATTAGATGTTAGATCTTACAACACAAGATCTGGTTTAGCTGGTGTGAGTGTAGACCCATGTTACAGTACGGTTCTGGTGTTGACAGAAGTTTAGTCAAATATTTAGTTTTGCAAATGTCTTTACTATTCAGTCTTTCAATACGACGTAGGTGATCTATGATTGAAGTGCAGTTGAAATACATTTTGCAGCGATGGTGCCTGTCAAAGAGGTCAGCCAGAACCTTCACCACACCAAGGAACTCAACAAGCTGGTGGGCTCCCTGTGGAACAGCAGCTACGTCTACCTGGCGATGGTAAGTCACTAGGTAGCAACTTATGTTATCTAGGATAGGTTAGCTCACTAGGCAGTAGTTGAACTTGTCCAATTCAAATTGATGATGATGACACCGTAATAGCAGTACTTGTCGAATGATACATTGTTGCTGAAATTCTTCTTAAGTTGTGTGTGTATCACAGGCCTCTGTATAAGTACCTTGTGTATTGCAGGCCTCTTTATAAGTACCTAGTGTATTGCAGGCCTCTGTATAAGTACCTTGTGTATTGCAGGCCTCTGTATAAGTACCTTGTGTATTACAGGCCTCTGTATAAGTACCTTGTGTATTACAGGCCTCTGTATAAGTACCTTGTGTATTGCAGGCCTCTGTATAAGTAACTTGTGTATTGCAGGCCTCTGTATAAGTACCTTGTGTATTACAGGCCTCTGTATAAGTACCTTGTGTATTACAGGCCTCTGTATAAGTACCTTGTGTATTGCAGGCCTCTGTATAAGTAACTTGTGTATTGCAGGCCTCTGTATAAGTACCTTGTGTATTGAAGGCCTCTGTATAAGTACCTTGTGTATTGCAGGCCTCTGTATAAGTAACTTGTGTATTGAAGGCCTCTGTATAAGTACCTTGTGTATTGAAGGCCTCTGTATAAGTACCTTGTGTTTTGCAGGCCTCTGTATAAGTACCTTGTGTTTTGCAGGCCTCTTTCTACGAAAGAGCCGACGTGGCCTTGCCCGGCTTCAGTCAGCTGATGACCCAGCTCTGGGAGGTCGAGATCAAGCATGCACGAGACTTTATGTCCTACATCAACAAACGTGGAGGCTACATCCGGCTGGAGGACATTGTGAGTACATCTATACATCACGTGACTGGCAGACATTGTGCGTAAATCTATATATCACGTGACTGGCAGACATTGTGAGTAAATCTATATAACAGGTGACTGGTAGACATTGTGAGTAAATCTATATATCACGTGACTGGTAGACATTGTAAATCTATATATCAAAAGACTGGCAGACATTATGAGTAAATCTATATATCACGTGACTGGTAGACATTGTAAATCTATATATCAAAAGACTGGCAGACTGGACAGAAGTCGTCACAACTTGTTCTCTGTTAACTGGATCTGATGTGACTGGATAGAAGTCGTCACTACTGGTTCTCTGTTTACTGGTTCTGATGTGACTGGACAGAAGTCGTCACTACTGGTTCTCTGTTTACTGGTTCTGATGTGACTGGACAGAAGTCGTCACTACTGGTTCTCTGTTTACTGGCTCTGATATGACTGGACAGAAGTCGTCACTACTGGTTCTCTGTTTACTGGTTCTGATGTGACTGGACAGAAGTCGTCACTACTGGTTCTCTGTTTACTGGTTCTGATGTGACTGGACAGAAGTCGTCACTACTGGTTCTCTGTTTACTGGCTCTGATATGACTGGACAGAAGTCGTCACTACTGGTTCTCTGTTTACTGGTTCTGATATGACTGGACAGAAGTCGTCACTACTTGTTCTCTGTTTACTGGCTCTGATTTGACTGAGTTAATTAGATAACTCTCATTGCACATCAAACCATTGAGATCATATATGCTCAAATCCCGACCTCAGTAAATCCCGCAGCGTGTTCTGTGTTGGTTTCTTATTCTTGTTTGGCTTCCAGCATATTGCTCTTGTCTGGCCATACCCCTTTCAACATCTTGTTCTTGCAGTCTGGTCATGGTTGCAGTTTCACAGTCATCACTTGGTTCTCGCAAATGTCTTACTTCCCTTAGAGCACTCACCATTTCACCAGAGTCCATAGCTCGTCAGCCCCTTATAGAAGCTTTGCCTGCTAGCCTGTCTGCTAGTTCGTTTCCTTGCACGCCTACCTGTTCTGGCACAAATATGAAACTGATATGTGAAAGCCCTGATAGCTGAAGAGACTCCAGCAACTTTATTTAGACCCAGTCCATCTCTAATTTCCTGAGAATACTTACTAAGTCATCTAGAAGTTATGCGAGGAAGAAGGTCCGTGTTTCCAGTCATGTTATTGCTGTGGTCACTGCCATGACATCCATAGTTAGAATACTTGCGGTCAAGGCAACAGCACCAGAATCTTGCTTCACAATTCTAACTCCAGACTGAGCCGCAAAAGCCCAAGTGCTTCTCACACGGTGAATCACAAACCCATCTGTGTCAATGACAGCATCCCCCTGTAGAAAATTCTAGAAGATTAAAGCCAGCACTTCTGCCTCAATAGCGGCTGGACTTTCTTTCATTGCATTTTCTGCCCAGACGGATGCAAACAGAAAAGGTCGTACAGGACTCTGTTGGCAGCTGGTTGAAAAGATATCGCAAGTGAACCCACCCGACATATCTTTTCAACCAGCTGCGCTTGTTTCTTCTTCATTTCACCATGCGGTGGGTGTCACGTGTCTACACAGACTCTGAGTGCGGCGGGTGTTATGTGTCTACACAGACTCTGAGTGCCGCGGGTGTTATGTGTCTACACAGACTCTGAGTGCGTCGGGTGTCACGTGTCTGCACAGACTCTAAGCTGGGCACTTGCCCAGGCACATTTGAATTCCGTCCTCCATAATTCACAATCAAGCAGGTGGCGCATATCTTGCATGCTGTATGGCTGAGCAACCGTCTGTGGCATAGTTGTATCTTTCCCAGCACCCAAGCTCATTCAGATGCGCCTACACGGAACAAGCTATACAAGACAATGTTTGTACCTCGCTTGATTGTGTTTAACAACACGGCCAGTGACGTCAATTCATGTAGACCCCTGGGTTTGGTTCTCCAATGATAGAGAACACTTAAGGTTATGGTAGCTGTATGTATGTGCTTCACTGGTTTTTCTTACACGAAGTCAAACTTCTAACACTGAATCACTGTAGAACGTGATATGACATGTCGTGAGAGTGAAACAGTTATAGTAGGAAGTGACATGACAGGTCGTGCGAGTGAAACAGTTAATGTAGGATGTGACATGACGGGGCGTGCGAGTGAATCACTGTAGGACGTGACATGACGGGTCGTGCGAGTGAATCACTCTAAGACGTGACATGACGAGTCGTACGAGTGAAACAGTTACTGTATTACGTGACATGACGGGTAGTGCGAGTGAATCACTGTAGGACGTGACAAGACGGGGCGTGCCAGTGAATCACTGTAGGACGCTACATGACGGGTCGTGCCAGTGAAACAGTTACTGTAGGATGTCACATGACGGGTCGTGCCAGTGAAACAGTTACTGTAGGATGTGACATGACGGGGCGTGCCAGTGAATCACTGTAGGACGTGAAATGACGGGTCGTGCCAGTGAAACAGTTACTCTAGGAAGTGACATGACGGGTCGTGCGATTAAAACAGTTACTCTAGGAAGTGACTGACGGGGCGTGCCAGTGAAACAGTTGCTGTAGGAAGTGACATGACGAGTCGTTCGAGTGAAACAGTTACTGTAGGATGTGACATGACGGGTCGTGCGAGTGAAACAGTTACTGTAGGAAGTGACATGACGAGTCGTGCGAGTGAAACAGTTACTTTAGGATGTGACATGACAGGTCGTGCGAGTGAATCATTTACTGTAGGAAGTGCCATGACGGGTCGTGCGAGTGAAACTGTTACTGTAGGAATGACAAGACGGGTTGTGCGAGTGAATCATTTACTGTAGGAAGTGACATGACGGGTCGTGTGAGTGAAACAATTACTGTAGGATGTGACAAGACGGCTCGTGCGAGTGAAACATTTACTGTAGGATGTGACATGACGGGTCGTGCGAGTGAAACAGTTACTGTAGGATGTGACATGACGGGTCGTGCGAGTGAAACAGTTACTGTAGGAAGTGACATGACGGGTCGTGCGAGTGAATCAGTTACTATAGGAAGAGACATGACGGGTCGTGCGAGTGAATCATTTACTGACTGGGAAGTCATGATGGGTCGTGCGACTGTGAATGTGACATGACGGGTTGAAAACATGCGACTGTACTGTAGGATGTGACATGACGGGTCGTGCGAATGAAACATTTACTGTAGGATGTGACATGACGGGTCGTGCGAGTGAAACATTTACTGTAGGATGTGACATGACGGGTCGTGCGAGTGAAACAGTTACTGTAGGATGTGACATGACGGGTCGTGCGAGTGAAACAGTTACTGTAGGAAGTGACATGACGGGTCGACGAGTCAGTTACTGTAGGAAGTGACGACGTCTTTGCGAGTGAAACAGTTACTGTAGGAAGTGACATGACGGGTCGTGCGAGTGAAACAGTTACTGTAGGAAGTGACATGACGGGTCGTGCGAGTGAAACAGTTACAGTTACTGATATGTAGGAAGTGACATGACGGGTCGTGCGAGTGAAACAGTTACTGTAGGAATGTGACGAAACAGTTACTATAGGACGACTGTCGTTACGAGGAAGTGAACGGTCGTCGGCGAGTGAAACAGTTACTGTATGACGTTGACATTACTGTAGGAAGTGACTGTATGACGGGGTCGTGCGAGTGAAACACTGTTACTGTAGGAATGACATGACATGGTCGTGCGAGTGAAACAGTTACTGTAGGAAGTGACATGACGGTCGTGCGAGTGAAACAGTTAATGTAGGTAGTGACATGACGGGTCGTGCGAGTGAAACAGTTACTGTAGGAAGTGTGACGGGTCGTGCAAGTGAAACAGTTACTGTAGGAAGTAGTGACGGGTCGTGCGAGTGAATGTAGGACATGACGGGTCGAGCGAGTGAAAATTTGCGAGTGATACAGTTACTGTAGGAAGTGACATGACGGGTGACACGACGTCGCGAGTGAATCAACTGTTGACATGACAGGTCGTGCGAGTGGAACAGTTACTGTAGGAAGTGACATGACGGTCGTGCGAGTGAAACAGTTACTGTAGGAAGTGACATGACGGGTCGTGCGAGTGAAACAGTTTACTGTAGGAAGTGACATGACGGGTCGTGCGAGTGAAACATTTACTGTAGGAAGTGACATGACTCGTAGGAACATTTGACATGACATGGGGTCGTGCGAGTGAATCATTACTGTAGGAAGTGACATGACGGTCGTGCGAGCGTAAAACAGTTACTGTAGGAAGTGACATGACGGGTCGAGCGAGCGAGTTTACTGTAAAAGTGACAGTTACTGGTAGTGCGAATGAAACAGTTTACTGTAAAAGTGACATGACGGGTCGTGCGAGTGAAACAGTTAGTTACTGTAGTTTACATGACGGGTCGTGAATCAGTTACAAGAAGTCGTGCGAGTAAAACATTACTGTAGAATAACATGACGGGTCGAGCGAGTAAAACAGTTACTGTAGGAAGTGACATGACGAGTCAAGCGAGTGCGAGTGAAACAGTTAATCTGTAGGATGTGACATGACGGGTCGTGCGAGTGAAACAGTTACTGTAGGACGTGACATGACGGGTCGTGCGAGTGAAACAGTGACTGTAATAAGTGACATGACGGGTCGAGCGAGTGAAACAGTGACTGTAATAAGTGACATGACGGGTCCAGCAAGTAAAACAGTTACTGTAGGAAGTGACATGACGGGTTGTGCGAGTGAAACAGTTACTGTAGGTAGTGACATGACGGGTCGTGCGAGTGAAACAGTTACTGTAGGAAGTGACATGACGGGTCGTGCGAGTGAAACAGTTACTGTAGGAAGTGACATGACGGGTCGTGCGAGTGAAACAGTTACTGTAGGATGTGACATGACGGGTCGTGCGAGTGAAACAGTTACTGTAGGAAGTGACATGGCGGTCATGCTGAGTGAAACAGTTACTGTAGGAAGTGACATGACGGGTCGTGCGAGTGAAACAGTTACTGTAGGAAGTGACATGACGGGTCGTGCGAGTG